ATTTGCAAATTTTAAGCGGAGCTTAAATCCAGGGTCAAGGTCTTCCTTACTATCTGACATTGTGAATATATCTCCCTATCTCAACACAGAAAAAGAATCTATGTATATGGTAGGTTGCAGGGGTTAAATAACATATAAAGTGTTCCACAAGGTTCAGAACACAGAACCCATGTTTATAAAACGTTGAAATCTAGCCAGGAGCTGGTGGTTTACACCTGTAATCCTAGCTACTTAGGAGGCTGAGATCTGAGGATTGCAGCTCAAAGCTAGCCTGAGTAGGAGAGTCCATGAGACTCTTATCTCCAATTAACTACCAGAACACTGGAAAGTGGAGCTATGGCTCAAAGTGGTTGAGCACTAGCCTTGAGCAAGAGAGCTCACAGGGAAAATATTTGCTTAATCTCCACTCCATAACAATACAAGGGAAACCCACCAGAGTTAAAAGCAAGTTTAACTTTCTACTAGGCACCTGAAAGGTCAAAGCAGTTTCACAGTCAGAGTTGATGTTTATCAACATCTTTTAAGACTCTGGATCAACTTTGCCAAAAACAATGTGTAAACTTAGTTGTAAAATAGAGGCATTACATTCTTAATTGGAAAAACCTGAGCTTATTTTGAATGTTTGAAATATTACAGAAGTAGTTCGACTAAAAAAGTGGATGGACATTAAAATTTTTATTCACTGGTATCTGAACCATTAGTATATATCTGATTCAATCATTTTCACCCATTTTTTAATTCATTATTTAATGAAGAATGAATTTGAATGAAACATTTTAGATAAATTAGACATATGACACACATATAAAATTTTGATTCTGGTCATATTGTATAAATTTTAATTATCAACACATGGCTTATCAGCAATCAGAGAAAAGTTGATAAGCCATGTATTTTAATTTGTGATTTAAAATTGACAAATGAGAAAGCTTTACAACTTCAGGGGGGTGGGGAAGGAGAAGTTGGGGAGGTGGGGAGAGAAGGGACAGTAGGGGAAAAACGAAGGAGGGGGTAACAATGCTGGATAGGAAATGTACTCATTACCTTACTCATGTAATTGTAACCTCTCTTTATAGTATCTTTACAATAAAAAATATTTAATTAAAAAAACCAAAAACCTACATGGCTTGTTAAATCAACCAATTTTCCTTCATTTTCCTTCAGTTTTGCAGAATTGTCTAACATTTTGACACTACTGATGATGGTCATTTACTAATCAAGAAACCACAGCTTCCTTTTGTAAAATATCATCATGCTTCTATTCGAAAAGAACATGAGTGGTCTGGGAAGGTGGCTCAGTGGTAGAGCATTTGCCTTGCATGCATGAGGCCCTGGGTTCGATTCCCCAGCACCACATAAACAGAAAAAAAAAGCTAGAAGTGGTGTTGTGGCTCAAGTGGTAGAGCGCTAGCCTTGAGGTGAAGAGCTGAGGGACAGTGCCCAGGCCCAGGGTTCAGGTCCACGATTGGAGCCCACCCCCCAAAAAAAAGAACATGAGTTAATTTGTGAACATAGACTTTAAGAAATAATTAAAATTATACATGTATAAAATTATACATGTATATAATTATATTACATTTATTATACATGTATATAATTATACATTATAATCTATGAGTGTTTTATTATGTATAAAATTAACATATACATTTTTCAAGTACTTAAGATTGAATCCAGTGTCTCATACATGCTAGACAAGCTCTCAGCCACTTGAGCTACACCCCAGGTTTTTGTTTATACTTTTCTCTTGGGATAGGAAATTGAGGTTCTGCCTGGGTTAGCTTTGAATTCATGATCCTCCAGCCTCTGCTTTCCAGATAGCTAGGGTTAGAGGTATATAACTCCATGCTGTATTTTCAAACATGAAGTTGTGATGACCATTGTATGTAGAAAGTATTCAGACCTCTCATTTCATATTTCATGAAACATTTTCTATCTCTTGTAAGTATATACTCTGTAAGACTATATGGTGATTTAATTGGAAAAGTAATACAGAGAAAAAGTTGAATCTTTCCAGTATACTTTCTAGCTATGAGATCTTGGCAAATTACTGAATATTTCTAAGATTTAATTTTGCGATTTGTAAAATGGGCATCCTAATACTTGTAGTATAGCTAGCATTTGTAGCTAGCATAAGTGTTAACAATAAAAAAACCTGCTTGATTATGGTTAGTTGCTTTCTCTTCCTGTGGATAGTCCTGTTATTTGACTGCATCCGCAGGCTTGGTGCTTACCAAGTCAGTTGTTATCCTTTCTGTCAGCTGGTTAAGATTTCTTACAACTGAGCCTGCTAGAAAACAGGTCATATTTCTTTGTGCTTTAAATTTTCTTCCTCTGCGATCTTCCATTTGCTTGGTGTACATTATACTCATTTCTACCTTTCTTACCAGAAGCCACTTGGTATCAGTTGTGTATCTAGGATGCTGTCTAATGTAAAGGAAGAAACTGATTCCTCACAATCAATCCACATGGAGGTCCAGGACATATTCTTCATGTCCTGTCACAACGCATTATGTAATGCCACCTCTTTGAGTCTCAGAGAAGTTCTCAGAGAAGGTCTCGCCTGATGTCTATCAAGCACGAACTCCTGTCAGCAGGACAAATTGGTGGCTCAGTTCCAAAAGGGAATCTGGTGTCATGTCACACGGTCCATTATACCTGCCTCATAAAACTCCCCATCTTTTATTATACCTATGGAAAACTTTCTTCAGAAAACCGTGTATGCATGTATGAGCATATTCAAGGTTGAGATATTGGACGATAATACATTACACATATACAGGATATACTGCATTAGTAGAAAAAAATATTGCAAACCTGGAACAGTTAAAAAATAATAATGTATCATTGTATGCTTCATCCAAAGTAAATGCTACACATTCATGTGTTCATGATGTTATGAATACATGTTACATATTACCATATAATTTCATGTGTAAGAAATAGCCAGAGTAGTCAAGTTTACAAAAAGTAGGACATAGGATCGTTGTTATTAAAGGTCTTACGGAAGAAGAAATGGGTATAGAATTTTAGTTTTGAAAGATAAAAGAAAATTCTGAGATCGATTGTAACTTTCAACCTATTGTTCAATGTCTGCCAATGTTCTCTCTTTCCCTGCCCTCCCTGGCTCTGATAACCAGGGGTCCTATTCCCTATTTCTATGAGATCAGCATTTTCAGATGCCACAAGTCCAGTCCATGGGTAAAGTCATGCAATATTTCTTTTAGCTTTTTTTGATTCAAGATGTCTTTGAAATCCAGATACATTAGAATATAATTCCTCTGATGTTCTTTTCCTTTGGAAGCAAAAACAAATCTCCAGAACATCACATTCCTCAAAGAAACCTGCAAGATGTTAGGAGTGTGATCACAGATCCCTTTCTAGGGTCTCAGACTACATCTAGTGTTAAACAAAAGAAGCAACTTTTAATTTTACTATTCTTAGGGAAGAGCACTAACTGTGTATCTGCTAGATTATTTTATGCTATCTTCCTTGAATCTTATAGGAACCTGAGGAGGTAGGCTGGGTAACTGCATATGCACACTTGGTGAGCACTGCTTTGTAATTACCTACAAGAAAGAGACAAAATCAAAACCTGATAAATGGATGAGTTAGAATCCAATGTAGTTGAATTGACAACTCCTCTAGAAATACTCCATCTGTATGCTATGAAAAATGCCAAAGGCCAAGGGGAAAAAAAGTATGCAGATTGTTTGGATACTAATTTAAGAGAGACTAATATAGTGATGCTGGTATCATGAGAACAAAGATTCATTTATTTAAGAATCATGTGGTGAAAAGTCACCACATGTGATTCACGGGTCTCACTTGAATTTAGAGTTCAGTTAATGAGCCACTGTGAATGGTCTGGGGAGCCTGGATTGGAAGAGGAAGTTTCAGTTGAGGAAGGCTTGTGAAGGATATTATCCACAATCTCTGCAGGAATTGATAAGATGGAGGCCATGTGGATGCAGAGTCAGACTAGAGGGTGGCTGTGCACATGGCCTTCGAAGGAAAAGTGAGCTGCAGAGTATTGAGAGCCTGACATGGGTAGAATTTGATTGTTTAACAGAAATAGAGTAGAGAGAAGATAGCAGACAGCATGAATCCCTAAATACATAGAACAAAATGGAGTCTCTTGCTTACATTAAGTCTAGTAAAGTTGGACAGACAGAAAATACAAGCAGAGTGATATATTGATAATTCACGTACCTACATTCAGGGAAAAAACAGTGATTTCTTTAAGATAAAACAAATGTTAGGAAAAACATGGCTTTTTCATGCAGGACATCTAAGGTTCTGTTATGTTTCTGCTAATGTATGTAGCCTACCTCAGTGAATGGGTTCCATTTTGACTAGTGGTCAGTTGTAGCCACTTCTCAGAGAAGTGTATTTGGAAATGAAAATAAATAGGCTGTTGTATGTATTCTTATTTTTAAAACGGGGACATTTAATACAGAAATGCCTAACAGGAAAAAATGTGGGTCAACTGTCTATTCATAGCAAATTTCTTGGTTATCTCTTGATGCTGAGGCTTTATGTGTAGACTGGATTCTATTGGGTTTGTTTCTGCACAAGCATGTCAATCACTATGTCAGGCGATCGAGGAAAACAATGTCTTTTCTCCTTGGCATTGAAAATCAAAGATGAACCGCTGCAGGGATATATAGATATTTCAGTCACACATTTGAGAAAGGCTGTCACTTATCTAGTCAATAGAAATTTGAAAATCTGAAGGAAAACAATGTATCTTTCTATATTGTTGCTTTTGCTCTTTGGTAAGAATGTTTTCTGACAGCTTCTTTTATATCATTAAAGGCAAAACACAAGGACTTCTCAGAAGACAATTGATGAGTTGGGGTGAACAAAGTAATAAAAAAATTTACACTCATTTGAATATTTGAAATTATATATTTTTTTCTTTTTGCCCAAAGAACCACTTTTACATTACTTATGGCAACAGAGAACTAGAAGCATTTATCCATTTCATTTCTTTCAAGGGATATGGTATATTGAAAAGACACTCCATCAAGAGTAATCTGGGGAAAACAGAAAAGCCATAATAACTGAGACCATACCGGGGCAGAAGAGACAAAAGGTAGGTACAATTCATGTTCACCGGATCCAGGGGAAGTTCCTGAAATGCCTTTGCTGTTATCAAGCAAAGGACAGCAGAGAAATGGTAGGGTGAGGGTTCCTTATTTTAGAATGTAAATGGATACAGTTGAATTAGCTACTGTTACAAATCATCAGTAAATAATACATCCTGAGACCTTGAGGGATCCAGTTTCATCCTGTGTCAGCCAGGGACCCTGCTTAGTAGAGAGACAAGCTTGGTTTGCTAGTTTTATTCTTAGCTGTGCTTACCTAAGTCATTCTTAGTTTAGGCAACTGGCCTATCATGATACTATTTTAAAATCTGTCATCTTTAAAACCTGGGAGAAATTCATGATATTGACATATACAGATATATATTATTTTCCTCATAACTGCTCTCTCATTGACAATGAAACACAAGTAAATTGTTTTGGGTGGTACTCGCCTCCCATGTTTGTTGGTACTCTAGGTTCATGGTTGGTTTTTTGGTGGTACTCAGGTCTCAGTACATGAGGTACTCATGTTGGGTAGGCAGACACTCTACTGCTCTTGCACCAGATTGAATCCTTCTTTGCTTTCTTTATTTTTTGAACAGAGTCTCACTTTTTGCAGGACTAGCCTGGACTGTGATACTGTGATGATCCTGTTTCTGCTTCCTGTGCAGGTGAAATGATGGTGTGGCATTACCTCACCCAGCTTTTAGATACATAATTTAGGTAGCTGCATAAAGGAATTGACATTCAACAACTTACAAATACAATGAATGTGATCAATGTCACCTCTTTCAACATTTTCACTCATCCCTCCCAACCCCATCTTCCACCCTTTCCTCAATTTTCTTTTCTTTTTTTTATTTTTGAGTCCAGTCGTGGGGCCTGAACTCTGGGCCTGGGCGCTGTCCCTCAGCTCTTCAGCTCAAGGCTGGCTATCTACCACTTGAGCCACAGCACCACTTCTGGCTTTTTTCTTTTTGCTTATGTGGTGCTGAGGAATCGAACCCAGGGCCTCATGCATGCAAGGCAAGCACTCTACTGCTGGGCCACCTTCCCAGCCCCTCCTCAATTTTCTTACTGTCGTAGGATATGCATTGAATTTTATGACTGCTTTCTCTGTCTTCCTATCTTTAATGATCTAGCCCTCTCCCCTTGATCACAGCCCCCTTTTCGAATACAGATTTCCTGGTGTTTATTTTGTGGAACTGTCAGCCTTTCTCAGGAAGGCTGAATCCTTGAATCTACCACATTTTAGACAATACATTTGTGCACACCTTCAGCCCACTCAAAGTATTGATTTATAGATTTATACATTAATTCTAGTCTCTCTGGGTTTGACTTAGTATGATTTTTTCAGAACCTTCCATTTCTTCACAAAATGGGTAAAATTCCACTGTATTTATATACCATATTTTCACTATCCATTCATCCATTGAGGGGCATCTGGGTTGATTCCATATCTTGGCTATGGTGCAGTAATGAACATGGTCATGCTAATGGCTGTACTGTATCACATTTTGCCTAGGCTGGTTTCAAACTGCCTTCCAATCTCAGCCTATTGAGTAGCTACATAGAAGTAATATTTTTGATAATATTGATCAGTGGACATAAACCCCAAATTAATACTTTTTTTTGAGAAAGAGTGAAACAGTTGAATGTTTTTGTGTAATGCAGTTGATTAGTGAGGTAAATATGTCTGTATATGCCTTTTGAAAATGGAGTATGCATCCATTCAATAAGATTTTATTCTCACTGCTATTTTGCAAAATTTTTGCAGGTTGGCAGAATTTGCTTTGAATCCACTTTGATCCCTGAATGTTTGTTTTGCCATGCAGAAAGAGACACGTGCTTTTCTGCTGTTGGTTAGATGATGGATCTGCAGATCCTGGAATAAACCTCCATGGGGGTAAAGGCTCTCCCATTCTCCTCCATTCTCAAGTTTCTATGAGAATAAGGCTATGGTGACAGGAAAGAGTGGAAGACATTACATGAGGTTTAGACTTTCAGCCTGGCTTCCTAAAACTATTGTTAACCGACTGTGATTTCATTCTTATGGTTCCATGTCTCACTGGAGCATCTAATGTCAAACTTTAAGTTCATCATCATGCCCATGATAATGTTTTAATTCAAATTTACCTTTTACTGTGAAGTAATTTCAATGAAATAATTTTATGAAAACACATCTTTACACAATTCACTGAGCCATTCATATTATGAAAAGATAACTAGTCGAATTGTAAAATTAATTTTTTTATTCAAGGAAAATTAAAGGTAACAGATAAAGTCATGTACTGAGCTCGTACTATGTGTTGTGTATACAGTGATTTACAAATGTAAGTCTATTTAATTCTCAAGGTAACTCTAAAAAGGGACTGAAAGTTTATACTTTTTTCTCTATGATAAAAGTGTATCTTGCCAAATGCACATATTTAGCAGGTGGGTGGTGAAGTTAGGATTTGAGCCTAATTCTGTCTGATGTTTAAGTCTATATATATCCTTGACCAGCTGACAGAAAGGTTTGGCAGAAGCTAAAATGTTTTCCGCTTAAATGAGTAAGCTACCTTGTTTTTACCAGGTACTTATGATCTGGTTTTGAAAATATACTCTTAAGGAATCCATTGTCATACACACAAAGAACTTTGTTACAGGGCTCCGATTCATTTTTCAGATTCACTTAATAAAAAAAATCATACTGAAACACTCCACAAATAAGAAAAAATATCAAAAGAACTATAAAAGGAAAAATCACAAATATTTATGAAAACATGAGCTAAAGGAATTAGAAATACACAAAATCACTTAAGGATAAAATTATATCCTATGAATGTGACAGTGACCTAGTATTGGAAAATTTATTAAAAATAATTTAATAATCACAGACCAAAAAATAAAACTTGGATCTGTTTTATTTCTTAATGGATAACAAATGACATTTGATAAAATGTCATTTTTTTCTTTCAATAAAAAGGTGTAAAGAATTTTGAACAGATGTTAAAAACTGAACATTAAACATTAATAGACTCTCAAAAAAGGGGAAAATACACTCACATGGCAATTTAGGACTAGAAAGAATGAATTAAAATGTAAAACAGTGAATCCATGAAAAGAAATTTCTAGAGGCTTATTACATGTCCAGTTTCATCACCTAGAGAAATATGATACAAATTCTAACTAATGAAAAGGAAAGGAAATATTTCTGATTTCTTATTTATATTCACTAAGATCTAAATGACTCACACATCTTAGCTCATTTAATTTTTATAACAATCCCAGGAGGTATTAATTATTATAAGTTTTCATTTTCAAATTAGAAAGTTGAGACCTATAAAAGCATATAACTCAACTAAGTTGTAGAGCAAGAAAGTATCTGAGTTCAGATAGAGCTCAGGAGGTTGGAATCATGAGTCTTTAGGCTTCAATATTATATCATGTAGACTCAAAAGTTACAATTATTTTTCAAAAGATGATACTTTAATAGATTTTTTTAATATTATTAATCCCAAGAAACTCAACTGAGAAACTATTAGAGCAAGGAACCAAAGTTAAGTAAAGCTATAAAAGATAGGTTTATATAAATTAAAGTTCATTATAATAGCAATAAATTACAAACACAATCAAGTGCCAGTTATTGTAGAAATGATTATCTATGAATAAACTATTCTTTTTTTTTTTTTTTTTTTCTGGTCATGGGGCCTGAACTCTGGGCCTGGGCGCTGTCCCTCAGCTCTTCAGCTCAAGGCTAACACTCTACCACTTGAGCCACAGCGCCACTTCCGGCTTTTTTCTTTTTGCTTATGTGGGGCTGAGGAATCGAACCCAGGGCCTCGAGCATGCAAGGCAAGTGCTCTACCACTGAGCCACCTTCCCAGCCCCCGAATAAACTATTCTATGAATAAACTATGCAGAATATATGCAAGACCTAAGTGAAAAAAAGAACAGCAATGATATAATAAGAAACACAAATGAGATTAGTAGTAATGAAGTTCTACATTGCATGTTTGGTTAAAAACAATAAATATTCTATAGCCATTCTGTTCCCTAAACTTATAAATGGTGCTGAAGATCTACATTACATTTTTGGATGAAAATAATAAATGCTATAAAATTATTTTCTTCCCTAGCCTTATAAATTTAATACAATTTTATTTAAAAATTTTGAAGAGATTTTAGGGAAAAGTTTGCCAATAAGAGAATGGAGAACCTGGGAAGAGAACATTTTTGAAAAGGAAGAATAACAAAAGAAGGCAGTATGAGTAACTCTAAACAAACACTGGTTTAAAAGCATGTATGTTTAGGGGCTGGGAGGGTGGCTCAGTGGTACAGTGCTTGCCTTGCATGCATGAGGCCCTGGGTTTGATTCCTCAGCACCACATAAGCAGAAAAAGTTGGAAGTTAAGCTGTGGCTCAAGTGGTAGAGTGTTAGCCTTGAGCTGAAGGCTAAGGGACAACACCCAGGCCCAGAGTTCAACTTCATGACTGACAAAAAGAGAAGAGCATGTTTGTTTATTTGTAAGTTTTACCATGCCCAGAAAAATGTCCTGGATATGGTCAAAAGAACTATATAAAAGGGTTTCTTCTCATCATTGGTAATCAAAAAAAAAGAATTCTTGGCTGTTTTGTTTGAAATAAGACTAACAAAATCAAATAAGCACAACTCCAAAGATAAAGGAATAAATCTTGTTCATTATTATTCTGGCTAAACTGCCACTTTTTTGAAGACTGTCAACAAAACAAAACAAATCAAAACTGACTTGTAAGTAGTAAATTCTAGAAGGGAAAATAGGAGATAAGAAAAAACAACAACCAACAAACAAAAAGCAGAACAGGTAAGATACTTTGTGGAGGAGAGTAAAGGGGATATACAAGAAAAACAAAGGAAGTTAGCCAGTTAACCTTAGTTCTTACAGATCAAAATAATTGCCAATTAATATTCAGAGTGGGCAAATCTCATTCCTTTATCCAATCAATATTCATTGAACTTTTGCTCTATATTCTTTGGGCTGGAATGATTTTTGGGGTTCAGCTGATACACTGCTGAAAAGACTTCACAGTTTCCCAAAGTTTGTGAAGCACCATCATAGAAACGCCATGTTGGAGAAAGACTGGCCAAACGTTCTGAAGAATACTAAGAGCACTGTACTAGGAGTAGCTAATCTCCTCCTTTAGTAGGTGCCAGGGATAGCATGCTAATAACTTCAATGCAGTGAGAAATATCATACTTAAATGATCATTGTGTGCAATCAAGGGGGCAAAACTAGATTAAGTAGATGGTATGGGAGGAAGAAAGATTTTTTTTAACTCAAGGAATGGCTGCTTGAAATTGTAGGGATCTAGTTCTGGTAACCCAGTGATACCATAACTTTGCTACCATTTGGTAGCAAAGGGATCTATATGTTGAATGGGGAGGAGTTGGCAAGAGGTAGTTGAGTTACTCATTTGAGTTGGTTACTGAAATGACTAATCTGAGAAGGGCTCTCCTGTAAACAACACAATGAGGAAAACCTATGCTCAAAAGAGTCAAGCCCACCAACTTTTCCATTTAACTCTGAAATTTTAGCTAAATCACTCATCCATTACTCTTAGTTCCTATATCAAGGAAATTATTAGTAAAAGTACATATTGTACAACATTGGTGAGAATTGAATAATATAATGTGTCCATGAACTAATTA